TTTAGTATTTTCATTATTTTTTTCTCACATGATACATTATCTTAATGGAAATCCCAAAATAGAACAACTAAAAAAGAGTGTTTTTTTTTTTTTTTTTTTTTTTGCGTAGCCTGATTTGGTCATCTTTCCATTATGTCTACACCAGAAATTGGGGAAACATAAAATCAAATGATGAAAATGAGTGTGTCTTGCGCCTGCAAAAAAAGGGCAAAAAATCATAGCTTATTAGGGTTTCTTTTCAAATTTCAAGTTTGGTAAAGTGATCCAATTAGGGTTTGGTTAATTTCATGTTATCTCGTGCCTCCATATTTCTGCTTTTAGCTGGAGATCCTCTAGCCGGGTCATTCTCTGTACTTGTTTTTGCGTATGATTCTTTTTTTAAAAAGAGGAATTAGCAGAATTATATCATTCCCAGATCTTCTTCGTCGATCCATTGCATTGATATTTATTTAAAAAAAAATAAAATGGGGGAGATGATTTTAAATTTTAGATCTTGTTTGGATTCCTCGAACCGAACATGCTTTTATAGATAGAAAAATTCTACCAAACATGCTTTTTTTTTTTTTTTAATGATCCGAACCAAACATACTCTTAGCGAAAGAAAATTTGAACAGCAGAAAAATTTCTTTTGGATCATATCACAATATTTTTTTATCAGTTAAATTTGAGATTATATTAAAAATTAAAGAATATAGGAGATATTTTCTTCTACAATTCATGAGCCATACCCAACACATCACAAACTGTTTGAGTCTTTGAGATGAGAGATCTTAGCTTTAAATTCTTGAGAGCAATAGGTATCTGATGTGCCAAAAAGTATATACTTAATGACGTCAAACTAATTTTCAAATTATGCTTTAAAGTTTTTTGTTTTAGGATTCAATCTTCACTATATTATAAAATGGTGGTTGTTAGATGGAGGAATAGCTCTAATATTAGGGGGATGTCCCCATCTAATGGTGAATGTTATGCTTTTACTGTATAATATATATATATATTTTGTATACAATAACTAACTTGTCAATAATTTAAATGATTCAGTGATAATTTTTTTTCACTGCAAGTAAAAAGTTATGAATTTAAATTGCATGGCATATGGATGAGATGAAATAAAAGATGTAAGATGATTGCTTCCAATTGTGTAACTAAGAAAAAAAAAAACTAGCATAATATGAAAGCTTTGTTTGAAAGTGTGAGACTGTAATGTGACCATAGCTGTCCATTTTTTCTTTTGTTTCTTACTATCTCTAAAATATTAATTAAAATAATAAATTGTTCCCTTTGTTAGATTTAATTGTTTTAGTTTGACTTTTATATGGA